CCCCCCCCCCCCCCCCCCCCCCCTCCCCTCCCCCCACCCACATACGTCACGAAAGCTTTTGAAGATGTACAGTAGATGCCTATGTTCTAATCACTAGACTACAAAACCATTGGATTCATCTTCTGTTACAGATTTCCGAAGAATTCGGGTCGTCACACGTGCCGTTCCGGACATTCGGCTTCAAACCGGACTTCTTTGCCTGCACTGCCGATGCCGTCACTACAGAATGCACGTTTCTCGATCAGGCCACTCATACACCCAGTGAGACTGCTGGGTCATGGTTAGTTTCAGAGAAGCTTTTCTCCCAAACTTAAGAGATTCTCGGGAGCTAGTATTGATCTATAAGAGATCGTATTTTGTATGAAATAGACCTCCATGAACTTTTTTGCCAAAAATATCGAATAGCTCAGAAAGCTTTCTAAAAATGTCGATCGATGAGGCGGTGTTCAGTGTCCAAAAACTCGGTGCCCTTCGGTCCTTCTGAGTGATCCCTATTTCTGTCTCACTCCTACCGTGATATAAAAAATAAAATAATAAAAATCATTATCGTTGTATGACTAGGACGATTCTCAATTCCAGGTCAACTCTGAGCGCATTTGTGTTCTCGGCTGTACGTGATGGGTATTACGCAGAGCTACGGCGGCAGCGTAAATGCAGCAATGCGTTCCGGAATCGGCCATCTGTTGACGTTAGCTCCGATGGTAGCGTCGTCGACGGTGGTAGTAGAAAGTAAGTCATTCCATTTCAGAGCCGTTCCGTTTGTCAGACGATTTTTATAGATAGGCAGAAACGTCGCCTAGTAGCCATCAAAAAGAGCTGAGTTCCCAAAAATTCAGAATAGATATCCACAACTTAACTTTGCTTTTCAAACTCTTCCTTAGAAGAGATGGAGTCAAAATTTGCAGGCAACGCTCCACCTTTTTTTGAAAGTTGTTCCTCTCTATATCAAGTTTCACCCATAGCCCGCCCTCTCCTCCCACCCTTTTCTTAGGTTTTGAGCTCAAGCTCGAACAGACCTCCTGGGCGTCTTCATCTTTCTTCACAGCTCATCTGCAGGGTCCACAGGCCCATAGCTCTCATCGAGGTCTCATTTACCCGAGTAGCACCACATTTGGGATGGCCGTAATTCCAGTATGGTATTCTGTATAACGTTTGAGGAAAGAGTTGTATTTACCTCCAAACGTCCACCTCTAAATACTCAACTCTCAATGGACGAGCTGGCTCTGTAACGTTGCCAGTTTGAATGGAGATGTTCCTTTGCTTGGACGGAAGATTTGGGAATTTTGACGACCACATTTCCCGGTTCAGAATGGAGAACACGGATACAATGACCCACTTGCTACGAAAGATCAGGCCCACTGCTAAGTACCCCAACTGGAATCCTTGAGAACCTGCCATAACTCTGTAGAACATAAGCTTGAAAGCCCTTGTAGTCTACAGTTTACAATCAAGAACTCACCCACGAAATTGAAGTTTCCCCTTCCCAAATTGCCTAGGACAGCCGTCAGTTAGAGGATGTGAATTGCTTGTATAGTCTCAAACCACTCACTTATTGACTTTCGTTTAGATCCGCCTCTCCAACACCAGACGATATCTCACAAAGCAGTGGATCAAAGGAGAGTACTGCTAATTACCTGCTACCACCTCAAGTGTACTAAATGGTCGCCATCTTTAAGGGCATGAAGCTCTAGTCATCATTATTTGAAATACCGTAAAAACGACGTAATTTCACAGAAACTAATTACATATTTGAGTTACCGTATGCCGATTTATCGATTCATATCTCTATCAAGCCATGACTACCCATCACCCTGCCCTTCTCTAACCGAAATCAAGCCGATTTTATTGGTATGGGAGGTGTACAAACTCAAAAATGACAACGAAGCTTTCAATTTCCCTCAATACTTAAGTGTTCTCAAGTTGCTATATAAGTAATTCAAAGTCATTAAGTGGGATACTCTTTAGCGAAACTTATCGGGTAGACTCACAAGTGTGACAGAAATCTCTTATTATTTGTCCAATCAATTATCGATTGAAGGCGTTAGGTCATCTTCATGTGGGATGACATGGGCCTTCTTATGAGGTTACTGGGAGTATAGGCATTTAGCTGGTTTTATTATACCCTCTTACTACAAAAGAATTTGGTATAACTCATCAATTAATGTGCTCACAATAAAGTACGATCATGCTTTCCATTTATGTAAAACCCAGTGAGTACTAATTGTCAATTGTACATTGCAAATGTGATTTTTCCCCTATTTACTTTGTAATGATGCTGATTGATTACATGGATATTGATTTAACATATTTTTGTGTATAAATATTTGTTTGTGTTTGTTCATTTACCCCTATGCAACAGCTGTAACATCAGATGCTTGGATTAAACTGCTAGTATTACGTTTTTTCTGAATGTTTTCCATTGAAGGGCGGAGATTCCCCGTCGTCACTGTTCGAGGGGCGGGACTTCTACAAAGGCATGTTGATGGTTTGAAGGTTAGCGGGTTATATTTGCTTTGATACTGAAAGCATTGAGCCTAGTTAGTTTGTTTTTTTTTTGCAACTTTTTTGACCGTCCCACGAATGTATTATAATAATGTAGTGGCTAGAGAAGTCACAGCACTCCTCCTTGGCCTAGGGAATCGAATTTTGCCTAGGTTTTTTTTTTCGGGGTCTATTCACACTTTCATTATCTAAAAGGTGGTAGGATTTCTAGGAAAAAAATCTTTACTCAAAGCAGCGTACTGTGGTAAACAGTATTTTTTAGTCTGTTTTACAACCAATAATGATGCACAATTCAATAAACAAACAAACGATTTATATTTCAAATCTGGCAATGGATATATTTTTTTCGTTATCGAATAAAATTCAGATTACAACTGTATCTGCTCAATAGATCAGTCAATCATTTCTCGCCCGCCAATTCCGATGTGGACAACTTTGCTTTGGCCATTTGAGCGAATTTTTCGTTAATAGTAGCGAGAGCCAAGTCGTATGACGACTGGGACAGGAAGACATTTGTAACTGGCAAGGCGGTTTCAACTTGTAGCAATTTTTGGTAGAAGGCCGATAGGGTGTCACCTTCTTGCATGGGAATCTGAAACACCTTTCTGTTACCATCTTATTCCTCAGTTCAATCATACTAACTGGACTCTTTGCTAATTCAAAAATGTCCAGAGTGGTTATTTTAATGCTCTATTTGGAAAAAAATGAATCACATTCATTAGGGTTATGCAATTCCCTGAATTTTGCGGGTTATTAAATAAATAATAAAAATATAAATAATTATGTATAGTATTTATATTGAGCACTTATCGGACCAAAACGAAAAAAATTGTAAAATAAAGGGAAAACCAGGAGGTACATATATGAAATTCTTCATACTTTAATAGATTTACCTGCCACTTTAGGAGACCTTTTCCGCTGTCAGGAACCGGTAATGGCACAGAATTTGCGTATATTTCACGAATACCATCAACAACCTGAAATACTCTATTTTTTTATTGAGTCGAGCAACGAGATCACAAAAAATCATGAAAGTCGCATTGACATGGGGCGACTGACGGAAATTGTGTAAGCAAAGTAACCTTTAGATGGGCCAGAGTCCTAGTCAGACTGAGCGTTTTGCCCATTACTCAGTATTCTTGACATGATACAAGCTATTGCGAAAAGTAGTAGTTGAGAAAACCAGCTCATCAGAGAATCCTCTCTTGACACCATCCTTTCGAGAGTAAGTAAATGTATGGTCCCAGGGAATAATCCGAACTCAAATTTACGCCCAGGTACACTCCACAACGGTTCACTAAGAGAGAATGCATGACGCGTTTTGATGAGACTTCAAGCATCTTGCTGTTCATTATTAAGCCTCAATGCTATTCCTCAGATTACGGAAAGTAGTGCATAATAACACTGCACATTGTATTGCCACTGGGATACTTAAGGGGACTGGAGTGCGTGGCGCATCCTAAAAATTGCTGAGTAGCGCCAGAAACTATTCTTTGATTCAATTATCTATTATGTGGTATTATTCAGAACAAAGTAGATGTTCTATGTTGAGCGCCGATACCTTTTTCCTGGCATATTCTTCTACCACCAATTGAAGTACACACAACCTTGTATGCCTGGAACAGACCCACTAGATCACGAGTAGAAATAAACAAGTAGTAATTGAACATCATCATATAAGAATATAAATAAACGATTTTGTAATTAGATAGTTTAGAATTTTACAAGATTCGACATAATTATCTTTCCTGGCTAGATCTCCAGCACCTTGTCCCACTAGGGAGGTATGGCGGGTATAGCAAACTTACTTGGCTCTGAGCGCATCAACGGTACCAACTGCAATAAGGTGCCCCAGCGAGAGAACACCATATCGATCACTGAGTTGTTCACATTCTTCGATCGATGATGATGTGAAGAAAAATGTACGATTGTTGAAATGTGTAGAGTTGATCAAACGCCAAATATCCCGACGAGTCTGAAACGTTGGCATTGACGTTGGTACATTATAGGCTTCGAGCTCACTGTTAAGCTGGTGCGATACGCCGGATGAGCCGTTCCTACGCGCGTAAAATCGATATCAGTTTTGGAAGCGCGAGCTGAGGGAACACTAATAGCGCAAAAAATCTGGCGAAGCTCAAGAGATGGAGTGAAAACTATCCTTTGCAGTTCTCTTGATTCATTTTAAAAATTGATATCGATTAACATCTAGCGGAATCAACATCTTGAGCTTCGCCGTAATTTCAAGTGGCGCACCATCACTCAGATGGTTAGGTGATTCTATCCTGGATCGACTTTTTCCCAGGCATACAAGCTTTTCTCTCTGGGTTGAGTTTATTGGTACCAGACCCGCCTGGGAGAATGAAGGCACTGACGGCTTGCCAGCGCAAGTTTATGTACGTCATGTACGCATTTAAACAACCACTAATATTCCGAATAGAACTCGAATGCAGAGTGCATCCCAGAAACGGGACTGATTAATGCCTCCAGACTTCACCCTTTTTATCCATTACCAATCATTTCAATATATGAACAGTGTTCATTCCAGAGTGAGCGCTCTAGCTGGGAGGAATGGGGAATATAGTGGGACTCCGAAAGTTCGAAGCGTGTAGCATCCCTTAGCATTTTTATTTATTGGCTCTCAATAATCTAAGCAAAGAGGCACTAACCACTGGGTCGACTCCTCTGGTCGGTTCATCCATTGCGATCAATTCTGATCGAGTCAGTAGAGCCAGCGCGACGCTGACTCGTCGTTTTTGTCCCGTACTGAAAAACATTTTCAAAAAATTGATGAGACCTCCCGAGGAGAAATGGGACGGTCATAGTTCGATAGGTTCTCGTGCAAACATACGAGCAATTTGATATTTTCCTGTTTGCATGCAAGCGTAATCCCAAAGCTTCGATCAAGGTCTTGACAACTTGTCGTATATTAGAGTACCCTGAATGATTGTCATTCGAAGACAGAACAACACTTCGTTAAACTCACTAATCAACTGTTAACTCATACAATAATTTACTTTTTGAGTAACAATTTTACGGCACAATATGTTGAATAGATTGACTTGTAACGACCGCTGTGGCGGAGATTTTCCAAGTCGCACATCTACAACGTACGCACCAGGAGAGAGTTTGATGGCAAATCTACTCTCTCCCCAAGTTAACCGAGTCTTCTAGGCCCTCCCGAAACAGCTCATAGTGTTCCGACTGTTACGTCATTCGTTTTTCTTTCTGTAATCTTGCGAGCCGTGTGTTTTGTTCAGTGGGAATTGAATCTGCTGCAATCTCGGACGGCTACAGTTCGCTGTCGTCTTCTATGGGTTGGCCGTCAAGCAAAGGAAAAATTGTAAAATTTCGGAAAGCGAGGGTGAAACTTAGTAGCGAGGGCTGGGAGCTTCCTTGCCATGGTCATTGGATGAAATAGGATAGTTGCACTGGGCAGCTATTTTCAACATCAATCTATTCCTGAAGCTTCCTTTCACAACGTTCGATCATAATCGTCTCCTTGTTGACATCTCAGATTAGAGGCAGCAATAGTCTTCCCAATCATGATCCTCAGACCAGGCAAGGATTCAACCCGTACGTCGCCCCTGTCCTCTTATGCCAGCTAAAAAGGAATAACAGTAGCATACCAATCAATCCAGCGATGATCGTAATGTTCTGACTGCACGTCAATCGACCAAATAGAGCATCCTGCGATCCACACCAGCCCACTCTCTGGAATGATTACTTGTACTTGAACTCAATGTTGTTGAATCATCACTTTTCCGAACGAGAAAAAATGTGACGATGGTTGCTCTCCATTGCGATGCGACAACTGATAAAAAGAATCGGCTAAAACATGGCGCGCGGCGGGACAACTAGCCAAGAACCGTAATTTTTGTTCTTAGAGATTCTCCGCTGAGAAGTTGTGTCACATTCCAGTATGTTGTAACCGTTCTAAGGTTACTTTCACCTTCATTACAATAAGAGCAAGATTTCAAAGAATTATTTGCTGGCCTGAAAACTCGACCCACTCGATTCGAGCAGAGCAAAGGCACTCACTCGGTGAATTCTTCAGAGAATTCGTCTTGTCGCAAGGCATACCCTATAGCCTTCTAGGGAGGCGATCGAAGCCTTCTCCAAATCTGAGTCTATGCGCCGGTTCTGGATTTCACCTTCAGAGATGGACGAGGGTTCCATACTGTAGTGATGGCACCGCGTTCCCTAACAAACCACTACTAGTTGTTGGAGAGCTCGACGAGACCATGGACATGCCCGCCCACAATCCTCTCAAGGATCTTCATAGTGAGTGAGAGCAAGCGAACTTGGCGGTAGCTTGTGCTGCCCTCAAATGTGCCCATCTTCCCTCGCATCGCAGGTGTGGAAGTCTCTCGCCACTCTCCGTCAACTACTTTCCCGATCCAGTACTGTCACTTCTACACTCCGGCACCGACGTAATCAGGACTAGATGCCTTGACAGGCGTCATCTCTGCCAGAACTGTTTCCATTTGCTCCGCATTTACCTTCTGAACGAATCGTACAGTGGCAACCTCCAGAAGAAGTGGGTAGATACTTTTCAATGTCTTAATAATCTTGAAGCAATCCTACCTTCGCTTCACTACTCTCTTACCATTCATAATCTGGTGTCTTGATGTTCGCAAAAGCGGGTGTTTCATGATTAATCCCAAACCGTTTATCAAGTCACTCCCAGTGAATTTAGTCGGGAGAGTGGGGAAGTGGTGGAAGGTTAAGCTGAGGATATAGTGATAAGTGCGCTATGGCAACGAGATAGGTGATGAAGTCTTCGGCGGATGAGAACTTGTGAGCTGTAAGGTAAACCGTCCACTGCCTCCGATTCCACTACAAACAAGGTACCTTTTGGAGCTACTTATTTTCTGGTGAAGTTTCGTCCAAATACATAGGAACTCACCGAAAGTGAATACGTGTCCTCGCCGTAATGGACAGCACTCCCATCAGATGGGCGTTGAAAACCAGCTATCAGATTGAATGCTGTCGTTCTTCCCGATCCAGTGACCCCAACAAGTCCGAATTTTCCACCGATGTCAATACCGAAGGTTATATTCTTCAGACAGCATTCCTTTCCATAATATTTGACAAGATGCTAGAATCCAAAATTTGGTTCAAGGAGCGTGCTTGACAGGTTCACCATACATACCTTCACTGAGAGTGCCCCTTTGGGATTGACCTTGGTCAGGCGATCCATTTCCTCTTTAACATCGTCACCAAACTGAAGTTCTGCCTAGAATGAAGAAAGTGTTGGTATAATCACAAAGTGCAAATTTGAGAATTTTTCTTGTTGTGAGAAATCCCTCAAAAGTAAGTGCAGCATCAGCTACAACCATGGCCTTACAGTCATCCCTACCCCATACGTACCCTTCAGAGACTAATGGACGACTGCCTCAACCTTGTAAGAAGTTTATTCATCATAAGGCAGTTGGAGTAATATTGTGCGGTTTGGAAGATATCAAAGAGTATGTCGTTAGGTCAGAACGCGAATTTTCTGCTAGAGTGAACTCTGCAGTCAAAGTACACCTTCTGAGATACTCACTGATTTAAGGTGTCGATATGCACTATACTCTGGAGAGGGTAAAGCATGCAGCTGATTCAGGCTGCGCCATGCACTTGGCTCTCGTGCCAGGCGGCGTGGAAGACAAGGTCTGCGTTACAGTGCAAAAAACTGGTCTGTGGTAGAGTGGTCCGGTTTTTTAAGATCGAATCCGGGTCCCCAAGACCATCTTTATTCCCGAGTCGATGAAGCACAAGATCTTCTCTGAGACGGGAAACCATTTTGATTTCAACTAGAAACTGTCAGAGAGGTGACTATACCGGAGGTTCGTATTTTCGTGTAAAAATCATCTGTCGTATTGCTGGAAATACAGGCGACTCGTAAGTAAGCAATGCGATCAAATATACAAATCCATTAATTATAAGCGCTATTAAGCAATCAATAGATGCTGCAATATTGAACTTGTGGTACTTGTTGCATTCCCGAAACTTCCGAAATTTTTATAAACAAGACTCTCAAGACGACATACTAAGATCCGCAAATTTCTTCTTATTGAATTCCGTAAGAACGATTGATAGAAACACCATGCAGGGATGCATGCAAATAACAAACGACTCCTGAACTTTTAGTCATTCCAACCTATTTAGTAGCTACAGAAGTTTCACTTGGCCGTTAGGTTGAATTCCCTCGCTTTGTATAATTTACTTTATTCAAACTAGCTGTTGGTTTGGTACACCAACAGCTAGTTTGAATAGATTAAATTAAAAGTATCATTAGATTAAGTGGGAAGCTTGAATTTTCATAATAAAACTTTTTTATCACGTCAATCACAAATGATTTGTTTCGCAACAGATGTTGAATTGAAATGATCCTTCTCAACTATTGTCTTTCCCTTCCAGTTCCGCTCTTAACCTACCATCCTCTTTGTTACCATAAGCTACCACGAGAAGTACAAGTTCTCTCCACGTTGCTTCAAAGCACTGATATCACCCTTGTCATCCCTTTCACTGTTGCAATATCTGAGTATATCCAATGGCGGCTAACTGCAACACTCTTGCCACAACTGGGCGGTGCGGGAAGTTGAAGGCAGCAAGTTTGAGTGCTATTGCTAGTCTACTTTTTGCCAAAAATTGTTTCACAACGTTTTTCTGTACGTACTTTTCGCGCAAGCATGACCTTCCTTCTTCCCGCAGTGTTTACTGTAAGCACTACATCAAATTTCGAGGACATTTTCTTACAAAGTAGTACATAGTGGCTTATAGAACCTATTGGGTTCCCCAAAAAGGATAGCTCCACATAAACTTACTTGTCTTCGAAGATACATATCAGAGATAAAAAGGGGAATAAAAGCGAGGGACTGAAAGAGGAGTAGAAATAAAAAAGCTCCTCCAACATGTGATATAATCGAAGCGATCAAGTAAGCTAATGGAAGATTGATCACGCAATACAGACACATCAGGCCCCTGAAATACACCAACATGAAGTTTCCAGTTTGAATTTACCAATAAATAATAATACTGAATAGTTTGCAAGTACGTGATTAGGTCAGAATTGGTGTTTTGTGGTACAGTGATGAAGGAAGCGGCTACACAACTTAGTTGGCCCATAAAGTTGGGGCCGTCATTGGGTGAGCGTGGGAACGACGAGATACTGAGAACTTTCTGGAGACACCGCACAATTCACTTGTAGTTGTATGTAGTTGGTGCAAGTATGTGAATTTTCGATAGAAGTCGAATACATGGCGCATCAGAGAATGGAAATGGCCAACGAATTGTTCTAGAGGAACTTACAAGAACCCCCATTCAGCGTTCCAATGAAACATTAACAGTATGAGTTTTATGACCAGGCAGACAAGTATGGCTATGATCGCGTCGTAGAACATCGTGACAAGCCAGTACATCGAAGGCCATAATCCGGTCTTTAATTGCTAAAATGATGAGAGTACGTAAGACTTCCAAGTCCTTTAAATGTTCACTAATGAAAAGGAAAAGACGATAAAGTTATGGTCATTAGGTTGTGTAATGAAGTCATAGCTGGCTACAATCACATATTGTTATGAATCTAGGGCTTTAAACATAGTCCCATGCGGCGATTTCGGGTCGAATAACGGCTTAGATGTGGTAATAGGAGCCATATCTAGGCCTGTCCGTCCAGTCTGCACCAGCTTTTCCCACTTTAGTCCTGTTCAGACACAGAAGAGAATGTGCAGTTTGAAGGTACATGAAAGATACCAGTGAAGCGAGGTGATAGGGAAATTGAAGGGGAGTTGCAAAAGAGGCTTTTAGTGACTATTTTACTTACCATGTTAGTAGTGGGTAGGTCATAAGGTTACTGTACGAAATTGAAGGAATGGGCCGTTTTGACCTCTTCAATCCCCAGCAGCCCTGGGCACTACCGCCACGTGGCATGCCGTCTATCTTGGCGTTTTCATTTTGTATTATTTATACAAACCCGTATTCATAATTAACAGAGGTATCCCAAATAGAATTGAGGTAAGTGAATAGGTACTGGTTGTATTAAGTGATTTTATCTTTGCCTGGAATGCTCCTATGTTAGAAGGTTACTTACAGATCTGCTACTCTTACGAGTGCTGGGTAATCATGCACGAATCAGAGGTAGGCATTGCTTTTTCAATTGTTTTTCAAAGGATTTTCGATAATTGAACGGATGAATTGACATACTTGATGTTTAAATAGGGACTGTTGTTCTTCAGCCGGTACAATGGTACATGAAGAGGTGAACAAAATCAGTGGCAGCAGCAATGTGATCGGTACGATAAAGCTGGTACTTCGATCGAAATGATGCTGTCGTGGCCGCAATTCGAGGTCCATATTCAATTGAGCAGCTCCTTGAAATAACAGCAATACAGGTCAGTTTCTGAGTGTGTCCGAGCTTTATCTTTCGCTTTATAGCGATTGAAAAAATGAATTATCACTACCCCTTCAAGATTAGAGGAGACAAGGTACATAGAAGCCTCCAATCCGCTTGAAGGGTTCCCTGTTGTCCGAAAAGTGAAGCTCTTCTATTCAAAAAAGTAGCCAGAGCTGACCGTAGCAAGTTTATGGAAGGGAGTAAGCTATTCAATGTGACCATGGGTAGTTTTCTGACGACGACAATGTTCCTCTTCATCCCCCACCAAAAGCTCGCTCAACTCTAATGAAAGTGCAGACACAGAGTAAAAGTGTTTCAATGCGGATATCCAAGAGATGAGATGCGGTGAGAACAAGGGAGGAAAGGGAGAGAAATGAGGAGAATGCTCCAGAGTGACTTCCCCAGTGTTGTCGTATCCTGAACTAAACGATCCGAGTACCCAAAGTGTTGCAACTACGGACCAGGACATTAATCGATTCCACAGGGATTATAGAAAACGACTCCAATGTCTTACCATCTTACAAGAACACATTGCTAGGAATCCCCATTCAAACTGCTCCCGATTTGATGGGGGACCGTGGGGTGTTCCCTTAAGATGGTGTGAGTCTGAACCCATGTCCTATACTCCTATTCCTACTACTACGGGGTTACGTATCGGGCTTGCTCTCTATTTTGACCACACCGAAGGCCAGTACCATGATTGAGTGTTTTCCTAGAACAGCCTCACGCAATCTCTCAGCCATTTATAATTCTGCTAGCAGATATAAGTAAATATCGTGAAATAGAAATGTATGAATGAGGTAAGTACCGGATCCCGTACAAGTGTGTCAACCTACCTTTACCCACTAAAAGTGAGTTAGCCATGTGCATCATAATGAGTTCTGATTGTGAGACATAGCGAGGAGCAAGAAAAACATACTCGAAAGTATTATACTGCTGTAACATCGAGAATCATTCTCTTCAGCCTTCTGTATCTTCTGTATAAGAGGAAGGTTAGAAATAGGCATGAGGGAGGGACTGGGTTTGGTGGTAAGGCTAGAAATGTGTGAAGGCATAAACAAAACACTGACAGGGAGATTCTCAGCATCGAGGACATCATAAAACCTTCAGTCCCACCAGAAAGGTCTTGGAAAGCAATTGAATCCAAGGTCTTACGGATTGAGTGCGCTACCTTGGTCGCCTAGTCAAAACTAGGTGACTGCGCGAAAACTAGTGTTTTTCCTGACCATGTCAAGTACCTTAACTTTTACAAATTAGGCTTGGATAGTCTCCACATGGCGAGTAATGTTAGCCGAGCGTATGCCGACCTATTTTTGAAGGGCATGGACTGTCCTAACCTTTACCAAAGCTAGAAAGATTCGTGATCGGCATTAAATGTACAACCTCAAGGACCACGATTAGAACAAATTCCAAAGCTATGTGTGCTCATGTGTTCAGCTGCCTCATAACCTCCACGAACACATAGCAATTGTTTCTGATCGGAAGAGGAGACGAAGTCAAAACTGTTCCGTCCGACCTGGTTCTTCTTGATATAGAGTCCTCCGACAGCCCATGGCCATTTTCGTGGCCAGATAGCATCAATACGCGATGAATTTATATGTTGCACCTATATGTATTAAGTTTCCTATGGGATGTTAGTTTAATTAAAATATTCGACAGACCTCTATATTGTCGAATCTGCTCATAAACTGTACAACCATATGTCGCACCGTAGTTTCGTTGACTGGATTGAAAACCAGAAACCTTCCAGTGGGGATTGATGATAGTGACAGCTCCACTGAACTTACAGCTAAGTAAATTTCTGCTTCTTATTCAAAAAAACCAAGTTTCATCTCTCATTTTAACATAAAAAAAGAATCCACTCAATAAAATTAGCAACGAGACTAGTGTGGACGAAGAATCTGTGAGCGTTTCCTATTTCAGATTAATTGATTTCTTGTAGAAGTGAGCAGTCTTTCGATGACATTACCCTCAAGTCCAGCCCTAGTTCAGTGTCACTCAGATGGGAAATATCCACGATATACTCATCATGGTCGAGCAACCCTTGACATTTTCTACTTACCTGAGACATTAGTAATTTCCGATTCAAACATTATTTGATGAGCAGCAAATAGTGCTACAAAAATTGGCACCAACCACTGAAACAACTCCTTTGAAAGGAAGTTGAAATCAAAGAAGCTTTCTTAAGTCGATAAGGACGAGTAGAGAATGATGGAAGAGGTTCGCCGTGCACGATTGGGGGCCAGAGACTTAGAAGTTCGTGGCTAATTGACAGAGCCCAAACAATCCGATTATTTTAGATGTTGCTATCTCGAGGCTTCATCCAGACTTCTTATTCTTGCATGCGCTTTTTTCGAGCACTTGTCTCTTCACTTTTATTGGTAAACTTTCGGATATAATGCCCACGTCAAACCTTAAGTTTACTATAGATGCATACAGTCAGTCAGTTACAACACAGAAAGCCACATCATACTAACCGGAAATATTGAGTAATCCGAAGAGTGGACCTGTCAGCCGGGGAAAAGGGAAGGGAATGGAAGCTTGAAAAGGGAATGGGATATCCTTCTTGTCCTAAAGCGACGAACTCATTCAATCAGTGTTAAAAGGTAATGCAATCTCTCCTTTACTGTGATAACCGGCTTGATACGGTATGTTTCCCGTGCTGCCATGATTTTTCTTCCCAGGGGCCGGAATGAATTTCTATGCAAAACCCTCACATCGAAGGATGGAATGATCTCTTTCCACTTCCTCAGTGTACAGTACCTGGAAAAACTGCTATGTGGACAAGCAGCGGGAGTAGCCAGCGCTCTTATGTGCTCGTCCAGGCAAAGTTTCAAGAGTCTTCTAGCAGTCTCTCCCACGAACTTTTCTCCACATCATCCTCATTGAATCAAATATACGGTGCCCTGAAGTGTGCAGACCTCTCCAGATGTACAGCATCGACAAGACTCTTCGCGGCACCGTTCTTCGTAGGTTCGAGACGATGTTAGAAGATTCTTCAGTGTAGAGTGGAGTGAGGGGAACATGGCTAATGAGGAGCTGGGAGTTTTCCACGACGCGGTGCACTTCATGTGCTTTTTTGTTGATAACGAGATGAGCAATGAGGCTTACACCGTCAGTCGTTCTGTACAGAACCCAGGTCTTCGTATCGCCTCGAAATTATCCGTTACAGTCAAGAAAACTTTCGATCTTAGCGTTAGCAGCTAAATCTCTTTAAGTCCCAAGCTTCTTTGTCTCTTTCAAAAAATTCCGCACGACGCTTGCTTCCATATAGATAGGATGTGCACTTCTAGAATGCCACAGGATCTTCGACGGAACACTTTTCTTTACCACAGGTGTTCCTCATAACCTTCGCTTATCCTATCCCCGTAGTGAGGAATGATAGAAATCTCTCTCTCCCTGGATCTTCTCTCGTGAAGGTGATGTTAGCAGTTGAGTCTCTTCAATGTTTCCACAAGGTCTTCTTCCGTTGTTCCAATATTGAATACGTCATCAATAGAACGTTTGTAGAACAAGATTCCTTCAGTTAATGATGACTCCTCTATGTGGTCCAAGAAGATGACTGCTATCACAGGTGCTATGCGATTACCCGTGGCAAGGCTTCGTTTTTGCCTGTAAAACTTATTGTCGACGCACAAAAATGTTGCACTCCAGTGCTGCTTCGAAGAGATCCTCGCCTCCGCTGAGGGAAGGTCTCATCGTCATGATGTGGTCTTGATTATCCTCAATGAGAGATGAAGCAGTTAGCACTGCTCCCGCGTTATTCCCGTTCGTGTATAAGAATACTACATCAATGCTCCTGTAGAAGGCTCCCGTCAGTAATGTACACTAGTGAGGCAACAAAATGAACTCTTCAACATTCACAATGTGTGCTTCCACGTAACGCAGAAGTGTGAGAGGAAATAAACTAAGAGACAGCTTAATCTGTCTGCTGGTCCACCACAAGATGCGATAGTCACCAGTGTCCAGTGCCGACGGGAGCCTTCTACGTCAGCTTTAATGTAGTATCCTTATATACGGACATGAATGACGCGGGAGCAGTGCAAGCTGTTTTACTCTCATCGAGGATAATCAAGGCATATACGATGATGAGATTTTCCCTCGGCGAATTTGAGTATTTCGTTGAAGCAGCACCAAAGTGCAACCTTTCTACGCCGACAATAAGTTTTACAAGCAAAAACGAGGCTTTGCCATGGGTAATTGCACAGTATCTGTGATAGCAGTCATATCCTTAATCCAAATCGAGGAGTCATTATTGACCAGTGAAATCTTGTTCTACAAACTTTATATGATGACGAGTTCATTATTGGAACAATGCAAAGAGACCTTGCTAGAACATAGAAGAGACTCAATTCTCACGGTGCAAACATAACTTTCACGAGAGAAAATCCTGGCAGTGGTGGACTTCTATCATTACTCAATACGAATATACGGATGAGTGGAAGCAGAAGTGCACATCCTATCTCTTAAAGCAAGCGTCGTGCGGAATCTTTTGAAAGCGAGAAAGAAGCCTGGGACACAAAGAGATTCAAATGAAACAAAATAAAATTGAAAGTGCTCTTGTTAGTAACGGGATGCTTTGAAGGCAATACGTGACCTGAGTCCCGCACAGAACGACTGACGGCGTGAGCCTCATTGTCCCTTTGTTAACGACAAAAAGGCATGTAAAGTAATCGCGTCATTGAAAACTCCCAGCTCCCATACGTCATGTTTCCCGCCCTCCTGCTACAATAAAAATCTTATAAATCGCCTTGAGTCCGCGAAAAACGGTGTCGAGAACAGCTTTGTCGATACTGCACATCTGGAAAGGTCTGCGAACTTCAAGGCAGGGTATACTTGATTCATTGTGGAGGATGTAGTGAAAAACGTGGGAGAGACTGCAAGAATATTAAAAAAAAATAAATAAAAAATAAAAATCCGCCTGGGCGAGCACAAAAGAGCGCTAGCTAATCCCTCTGCTTGTCTACACAGCAGTTTTTCCACGCACTGTACACCTAGGCATGGAAGAAGTCGCTCCATCTTTCAATGTGGTAGTTTTTCATAGATAGTATGGCTCTGGAAAGGAAAATCATGGCCGCGCGGGAAACATACCGCATCAAGCCGGAACTCAACGCAAAAGAAGAACCGCATCACCTTCTGAGACCTATTGAGTGATAACATCTTGTCAGAATAACAGCGGTGCTTTACGCGTTCTGTAATGAAAATGACTGACTGTATGCATATATTGTAAACTTGAGGTGTGACTTGAGATATTATATGCCGAAAGTTTGCCAATAGGTAAAGAGACAAGTGCTTCGAAAAGTGCACATGCGAGAATTCGGATACGTTGTGTCGATGCCGTGAGAATCCTACGCCTCTGTCTGTTATCCGCGTGTTGTACCGATTTTGTAGAATCAAGCCTAGATCATAGTGTATCAAAGGGCTAACATCTATTCATTATATATTTTCCTCGCGATGGGCATCTTGGGTCAACTTTTCGGATTTCGACTGGCAAGAAAGGGGATACTAAGAATTCAGGAAGATCCCATTTTATATATGATATAAAAAATCGAAACAACCGAAACGACTAATGGGCGAACTGAATATGTTGATAGCCTCGGGCCTGTGAATGCGAGCCCCGTCTCACACAGCCCGTTCCCTTATTACAGTCCTCTCTACAGGATTATTGAATAGAAAGCACTCACCTGGGAGATTATGAGGGGAGTGTGAAGAACCGAAAAAAGCACTTTTTTGTAGAGAAGGAAAATGAGACGCCAAAAGCATAAACAGCCTACAACGATGATCACTTTCTCTGACAAGGAAGGTCTTTCAGGGCGTGGGACGCTTTTTGAAAA